GGTGTAGATGACACCAATCTTCGGGAGCCTCGCTTCTTTGCTTCAGCTGGCTGATTTTTTCGAATAGTTCATTGTGTATAATATATAAATTGACAAAGGCAATGTCCATTATGACCCATAATAAACGGTGCCACCATTTACGTGATTTTCTATCTACACAGTATGAACTACATAGTTGGTCGGCAAGATCAACGCCGCCCATATTTATGTTATAGTCTTCCACAACGCCGCTGCATAGTAAGTTTAAACTCGAACCATCTCTTTGTTTTCTAAAAACATGTATTACTTCTGACCCATGAAAGTTAGTTGCATTGTTAACTGCTCTGTTATCCATCCACACAAAATAACCAATGTTAGTATTAGAATCCCGAAATGAATGATCAAACAACCAAAATAAGAGCTAGAATAGAAATAGCAAGAAATGCGTTTGTGAAAATGAAAACAATTATCTGCAACAACGATCTTAGATTACAACTGAAAGTAAAAGCACTGAGATGCTACGTGTTTTCGATACTGCCATATGGACTTGAAAGCTGGGCATTGAAGCAAGAACACATAAATAAGTTACAGTCCTTTGAAATGTGGTGTTACAGGAGGGTGCTTAGAATAGCATGGGCACAGAAGAAAAGTAACGCGGAAATATTGCGAGAAATGGGCAAAGAATGCGAAATAATAAACACAATAAAAATAAGAAAGTTACAATATATGGGACACGTAATGAGGGCTCAACTGTAAACTGCTCTAACTTATAATCGAAGGAAAAGTCAATAGCAAAAGAGGACCAGGAATAAGACGCAACTTTTGGCTTAAAAACCTACGGCAATGGACGAACATGACCTCCATACAACTATTCAGGACTGCTACAAATAAGATTAAATGGGCAAATGTAATGGCCAACGTCCTTAATGATAAGGCACCGTAAGAAGAAGAATGAGGGGATAGCGATATGAACTGTTAAGGCTGATAATACAGGAAAAGATAAGAGGAGAAAGGAGTATAGGAAGAAGGAGAGTGTCATGGTGAAAGAATTTAAGGGACTGGTTTAAATGCAGTTCTATAGAACTTTTTAGAGCAGCAGTAGATAAAGTAAAGATAGTAAGGATGATATCCAACCTCCGATTGGGAGACGAGACTTAAAGAAGAAGGTAATCAAAGTCTTCGCGTTAAAATTCCTTTACTTTTAAATTTCGAGGCAAGTCCATTCTGTTCTTACGAATTGTACCACATGCTAATGTATTTGTTAGTTTTAGTCTTTCGAGTAATTTTACGATCGTAAAGAAATTATCAAAACAAATAATTCTTTCTTGAAGAATTATTATATTCTTCCAGTACATCTTGGTTTATGATAGGACTACTCTTCCTCCTAAACCATAGTTCTCGAAATTAATCCGCAATGTTTCGTTTTTGCCTTGATATAAGTCAAACTGTAACATAAAACCATTTTGGTTTGCAATAGATCATAATTTGTAGCCCCTTTTATGGTCTTCTTCGGAATATATTGTTTCAAGCCTTGTTTCGTCCTTTTAAAAAATCATACTTTCATCCACACTAAGTTTTCTTGTTCCCTGATAACATGTAGTAAATTGTCTGTTTAGAGTATCTATCATGGGTCGAATTTTAAGAGCCTTATCTTTATTGTCGTTGGAAATTTGTTGCTTACGTTGACATGTAGATTTGCTAATATCATCTTGATACGATTCCTTGACATGGTTTTCGAAACAAGAGGCACATGTAAGTCTTGTGAAGCATTCCAGTACATTTTCCACGAGGGAAGTTGATGGTACCCCATTAGAAAGTTCAGCCCGATAAAGGTCCCAGTAATTCACGTTCCTTTATATTCAATATCTTGTTGTTCTGCACTGCATACAAATTACTTTGATAGGTAATCTTCTGCATAATATCTCCGAGTAGTCTAACAAAAACATTTTCGGATACCTTTAAGAGGTTCAACGCTTTCATTTAGTTTGTTTTTAACCACAGCTTCATCCAGTCCTGATTCTTCAATCTCACCTACACCATTTTCAACTAATTCACTTTTTTCAGCTGCAGATGGACCAACATCTCTTATTTCATTATCTTCATCAGAATCGCTGTTTTCATATTCACTTATTTCGACATCATCTGGTTGCTCCAGAATTTGTATTGCCAGTTCGTTAGTTCCTTTTCTGATAAAGGCCTTTTCATACAATCCTAATTTGCTTTCTATTCTAATAGAAAGTTTTCCATTCTAAAAAAGTTTCCCATTTACTTCCCTTTCTAAAAGAAAGTAATATAAAAAAATGTTTTGAATCCTGACGGGACTTAAGAGTCCCAAGGCATTGAACAGTAATATGATGTGTAATTATCATCATAACAAAATAAATATTTTATTGGTGCTTACCCTGAAGTGTATTGCGTCTGATTCACAAATAAAATTCCGCAGAAACAGTATAAACAATAACGATAAACACGAATAATTGTGCTTGCATCAACAAAAGTCCATCGGCAACAGTTACTGTTACAATAAATTCGATTAGCGACGATTGTCAGTGAATACACCCGATGAAATATTTTCTAGGTTAGGTTAGCAAATGTACTGTACGCCTCAGTCCCCTCAGTCCCGTCAGGAATAATTACAACTTTCGCCGTAATAAGAAAATAATACCGATTTAAAATTTTGGGACTTCAGAGTCCCGTCGGGCAAAAAAGGGTTGACGCATAACTAAGGAAACACAGTTCGTTTAGGTACAAGCAACTAAAGTATTTTTATATACAGTGTGTAAAAGCCAAATGGAATAAATTCATTATTTAGGTTACTGTACATATTTATAAAAAATCCCGAAACACGTCAAGTTTAAATTACAACTTGACATTCCTACAACCCCTATCTTCAACTCCCATAGAATGACAGGTACAACCCCCAATTTTTAAAATAGGAAGTATAGGCTTGTGATATATCGTTTGAAAGGTCTTTTCATTCTCCATTCAAAAATGTTGTCACTTTCAAGTTTATTAAAATTAATTAAGATAAAATAAATTAAAATCATGTGGTTACCGAAATTCGCAAAATATACTCAAAACTTATTTCCCGTTTAGGTCTTGATAATGAGAAAGTGAACAAAAACCATAGCAATGTGGTTTGTAGATGGTAACCATTAAAAAATTTTAAAGAATTTCCGTGGCAACGTTATTTTAACACGCATTACTAAATTGTTTTATTTAAAGTGTCAGTATTTTAATTTAAGTAAAAAGTTCGTTCAATTCAATTCTGAAAAATAGTTAGATTAACGAAAATGCATAAAATAACAGTTTTACAAATGATTGGTTATTGAGATAACACCCGAACACAACAGGAAGTAACTCGCCTATTTCATGAGAAATTTCCTAATTTACCGCCTATATCCCAAGGAACAATAAGTAAAATACAGAAGCAGTTTCACGAGTTTGGTCATGTAAGGCAGATAAAAAAAGCAGCTGCCAATGCACTGACTGATGAACTCAAATTAGATGTGTTGCTTGAGTTTCAGGAAAATCCACATACATCGAGTAGACAGGCATCCACTACATTCAATGCTAGCCATACATCGATAGTAAACATATTAAAAGAAAATAAATTTCATCCCTGTAAGATGATAACTACTCATGGAGGAGCTCATGGAAGACGATTTTGATAGAACTTTTTTTTGTAAGCAAATGATGGACATGTTGGATAACAATATTATCCAATTAGAAGACGTTATGTTTTCTGATGAGTGTCTTTTTTACACTTTTTTACTTAACGGTCATGCTAATCGGCAAAATTGTTGCTACTGGGCCACGGAAAATCCTTACTGGATGAGAGATGAACACACTCAAACCCTCAAAAAGTTAATGTTTGGGCAGAGATTGTAGGAAACAATATCATTGGTCCCTTTTTCATTAAGGGCAACTTGAATGGCAACAAATATTTGGCACTACTTCAAAATAATGTCATCCCAACGTTGGCAAATTTATATCCTGATCCAGGAAACCCTGAAGTTCCAGCGAATACGATATGGTTTCAGCAGGATGGAGCACCACCACATTACCAACTTAATGTCCGGCAGTACCTCGACACAATATTTCCCAATCGGTGAATAGGAAGGCGAGGATCGATTGAATGGTCAGCGTGATCACCTGATCTTACATTATTAGATTTCTTTTTATGGGGATATGTGAAGAGCCATGTGTACAAAACTAAACCTTCTGATTTAAATGACTTAAAAGAACGAATAACGCTTGCGATTAGGTCGATCTCGCCTGTTATGTTAAATAATGTAGAATAGCGTTTTATTTGAGATTAGGATGTTGCCAAGACGTTTACGTTGAACATTTTGAACATCTGCTTCATTAACATTCATAGTTCTTTTTCGTGGTCTACATTTTATTACGTTTTTCATTACATTTTAGTTTTTGATTGTATTGTAGCGAATTTCGGTAACCACATAATTTTAATTTATTTTATCTTAATAAATTTTAATAAACTTAAAAGCGACAACATTTTTAAATGGAGAAAAAAAGACCTTTCAAACGATATATCACAAGCCTATACTTTCTATTTTAAAAATTGGGGGTTGTACCTGTCATTCTAAGGGGGTTGAAGGTAGGGGTTGCATTTTCACGTTAAAGAATGTCAAGTTACAATTTAAATTTGACGTGTTTCGGGATTTTTTATAAATATGTACAGTAACCTAAATAATGAATTTATTCCATTTGGCTTTTACACACTGTATATTGGGGTATCACATGCAGCAACTTAAATTTATTCGTAAACTAGTTTGTAAGGTTTTATTATGTAATTCGCAATTTAGTTAAAATTTGCAATGAATTATACATTTTATTATTGTGATATTGACGATTTATGTAATTTTAATTGTTATTGTTATTTCTCTGACTTTTTGTAAGCTTTGTCCATAAAATTGTACAATTTTCAGTGACAGTATAGCATATTTTTAATTCTAATGTTACAGTGTTTATTTAACCAAAATTTTTAAAATTTTCAGAAAGTAAACCTCCAAGTGACTGTAGTAGATTACGATAGAATCGGCACTTCGGAACCCATCGGAAAAGTGGTACTAGGCTACAATGCAAGCGGAACTGAGCTTCGCCATTGGTCAGACATGTTGGCTTCGCCTCGTAGGCCGATAGCACAGTGGCACACACTCAAAGATCCTGAGGATGAAAAGAAAGACTAAGATAATAATGTCGCCTAACAACGCTAACACAATATAGTAAGTTAAGTATTTGGTCAAATATATCGTTATGTTTGTGCAAAGAGTTATAAGTCAAGAAATTAGAGTTTTAAGAAAAATGGATATTTCAAACTTAAGGTTAATTTTACCAAATTATGTTAATTGTCGAAAGTTTAATTTCTGGGGATTTATTGTTATTTATAGAATACCTATTGCCAACATAAATCTACTTATCGCTTTATCCACCAAAATAAAAATGACCGTAGACCTGAGTTTTACTCTACTGTTACAAAAATAAAAACCAATTTTATTTATATTAACCTGCACTACCACTTTCCTTCTCATTTCTTTCACGACAAATGGTTTCCTCTTTCCTGTTCCTCCCACTAGTTGCATCCAATCATAAACATGATTTATTGAGGTTCCATATATCTTTCTAGTTCTCTCTATCATGAAGTGGTCAGTGTCACATTCCATATGTGAATGTCCTGCGATAAGGAAGTTATGGTTAATGTTTTCCGAATGTCGGCTGTTTTGTAGTCACCTAAAAAATATTGGTATAACGTGTGTATTCTTATTTTGACCACCACACGTATCTGAGTACAATATAACGTGGATAATATCCGTAGGAAGCTCATCAAGATGCTTATAGAAGCACGAACCATTTTGATTTGCACCTCTTTCGCAAATTACTTCGTGTCGCATATGATTAAAAATTGTGCGGTAATATAATCATGGACAGTAAAATTAAAGGTCCATAGTTGGGAGACACTGCTGCATATCAAAGGTGCACACTTTTGTAGAGGTGTTGTCCTTATTGTTTAATTTGTCAATTGCTTTCAATTTGTATGCGTAATCTGCTTCGACTTGATAAATGGCTAGTTGTTTACATTATTCGTCTTTGTTTTAGGATTTGCTTTAATTTTTATATGCACTTGGTCACATGTTTGATATGTATCCTTTTTTGGTGCCTTTATAACTATTTTCATGATGTGACAAATTTTTTTGTAAACTTTTCTGGTTATAGGTTGGTGTTTGGACTCTTGTTTAAGATATTCTTCATAAATCTTTGCAATTGTATAGTGCGGTGGAAGATACTTTTTGCTTTTTGGTTTCTGCAATAGTGACTTTCGTATGCAGGCAAAGACAAAATGTGACGTTTAACAGCTTTAGTAACTTCATCGGATAATTTATGTCATGGCTTATGGGATCCTCTATTATCGTCGTGTGTTATTACCGCGTTAGAAGCGCCCTTTTAGTGTAAAGTGTTGGTAATAAATCTACTGCTTAGACCAAAAGTCTTTTGAAAGCACGACTGATATATTGGTATTAAATTACCATTAATCTCAAGATGATATTGATAGATTAATAAATCAAATTTTTGTTTAGATTCGTCAGTAACTCTTTGTTTTAATGTTTTTTTTTTCAACGATGATTACAAGACTACCTAATTACACAATTCTCTTATTATGGCTGTCCATGGCCCAATATTCTTTAGATAAAGTGTATCTTGTAACATCATGTCAACTCCAGGAACTAATACAGAATTGGAAAGGTATACGGTATTTATCCAAAACAAAATAATCTATGCTTATAAAAAATCCTGTCCAATAAGGATGGTCCGGGAAAGTCGCAAAAATAACTCTTGGTGGTGCACTGAATTGGAACAGCTTAAAAAGATAGCAAGAACAGCTTTTAATAGAGCGAAACGCACCAAACTCAAAGGGGATTGGGATTATATCAATCAAATCTCAGAGAGTTTAAAAAAGTCTGCAGACAAAGACAAAGAGCTGCTTGGAGAACCTTCTGTGAGGAAATCGAAGATTTCCCGCAGGCTTTCAGGCTACAAAAAGCGCTCTCAAAGGACCCACATCGGCATGTCGGCATACTAACGAAGGAAGATGGAAACAAAACTTCCAACATTCGCGAAAGTGCTGAGGTCCTGATGAAAACACACTTTCCCGGTTCTAGTGTCTCAACAGCACCAAACCGGATGAAAGAAATAATCATACCCTCAACAAACGACTGGCATCTCGCCAGAACAATGATTAATGAGGAAAAGGTAAAATGGGCCATATCGTGCTTCACTTCTTTCAAATCACCAGGGCTTGACGGCATATATCCAGCCCTACTACGGTGGGGACTGGATATCCTTCTGCCGCACCTCGTGTAAATATTCAGAGCATCTTAGATTCTGAGATATATTCCCAGGAAGTGGAGAGAGGTACGTGTGGTCTTCATACCAAAACCAGGTAGGATGGATTACACCATACCAAAGGCTTTCCGACCAATTAGCCTAACATCCTTTCTGTTGAAAACGATGGAAAGGCTATGCGAGAGATACATAAGGGATGAAGTTCTGGTCCATAACCCACTTCACCCAAATCAACATGCGTATACTTCGGGAAGATCTACCAATTTTGCACTGCATCATGTAGTGGGAAGAATTGAAAGATCGCTCGATAATAAAGAATCCACCCTAGATACATTCATAGACATTGAGAGAGCGTTTGATAAAACCACATTCCCAACTATCACCCAACACGCTCAACGTCAAGAATGTTCCCCTGGCGATAAGCGAATGGATATTCAGTATGATCTCTAGTAGAGCAATAAGCATAAATGGAGAAGACGTTTCTGTTAGAGGCATGGTTACGAGGGGATGTCCACAGGGAGGGGTGCTATCACCACTACTCTGGAACGTAGTTCTAGACACCCTGGTTGACCAACTCAACAGCAACGGTTTCTACACAATAGCCTATGCAGACGATATTGCTGTCCTGCAAAGCGATAAGTTTGAGAACACACTATGTGAGAGATCACAAGTTGCTCTTCGACTAATAGAAACATGGTGCAAGGAACACTCATTATCTATAAATCCTAAGAAAATAAAGATGGTCCTCTTTACCAGGAAAACAAGAATCACGGGCTTAATACCCCCAAGGATTCTAAACTACAGTCTAAATTTTTCTGACGAGGTTAAGTACCTTGGTATTACCCTTGACAGGAAGTTAACATGGAACTCACACTTAGATGGTACAGCTAAAAGAGCATATATTGCCTATGCACAGTGTCGACGAACGGTCGGATGCACCTGGAGCCACACGCCCAGGGTGATAGCCCGGGTCTACTCCGCTGTCATTAGGCCAATGCTAACTTACGGAGCTATTGCTTGTGTACCACAAGTGCTACAGGCAACAGCGATTAACAAACTAAACCATATTGAGCGGATGGCTTGCATAAATATAACAGGTGCCATGAAAACAACACTAACTGCTGCAATGGAGTTGATTATTGGCATCACGCTTCTAGATATATTTTTCAAAGAGGTGGCTCTAGTGACAATGATGCGACTGCGCTAAGCTGGTGCAAACCTTGATGTAGGAATGGGACAATTAAGAACTCGTTTCTGTTGGGGAGAGCCGGATGTGTTACCAGTACTACAGGCAGGCTGCGACTCAATTGAACCAAAGTTTGTCTTTAACAAACCCTACAAAATTGAAACATGACAGTGTATGGAGACAAACGTGGCAAATGCCTATTGCATATAAACCGATGGCTCCAAAATGAAAGAAGGCTCAGGATGCGGGATATACTCCAGATCACTGAACCTAAGAATAAAGTGGGGTATGAGCAAAAATGCCAGCGTAGTTCAGACAAAACTGACTGGTATCTCCATAGCCGCAAAAGAGATAACCCTAAAAGGTATAGCAAGGAAAACTATAATGATCTGCGCAGATAGTAGATAAGCGCTACTAACCTTGAATAGACCACTTGTCACATCAGGTTTAGTAATGGAGTGTCACGAGTCACTAACTCAAGCTTCGGATGGTCCGAATTATTTTTCTAGATAATTGGTCAGAAACCGCATTGCTGACCAATTATCTAGGAAGGCTGCAGGCCTAAGACTCTTAGGACCTAGGGATCTTTTTGGTAGGTCAACTACAACAATCGCGGAAATTGTCAAATGTCACTCCCATACGCAAACCGTAAAAAGATGGGAAGAAGGGAAAGGATGTAGACTTGTCAGGGTAACACTAAGTAACCTTGAAGAGTCAATATTAAAGAAGTACTTGGGAATGACCAGGAAAAATCTACGTTTGGCAGTTGGTTTTTTAACTGGTGATTGTCAACTAAGCAAACACCTCCACACACTGGGACTAGCAGATACACGTCTATGTAGGAAGTGTGAACGAGAAGACGAAACTGTAGAGCATGTCCTATGTGAATGGCCAGAGTTATCGTTAATACGAGAGTACGCGTTCGGCGAGTTCTGGCCCACACCTGCCCACATAAGAGAGAGATGTCTCCTGGTGACTTGTCCACCTTCCTAGAAATGGCAGGATGGACAATGAGCTAAGGGTGACTGCTCCCTGGGAGGATGCACAATGCGTCAATTGTGGCCAAAGTGCTGTGAAACTTAACTCGCTCTCCCTACTTTACAGATACAGAACATCATGTCAACGTCCTGGCATTTCATGCGACACATCGTTAGTGGTTTGCACTGCTTCGCTACAACTTCTTTGTCTTTTCGAATTTTGTAGCTTTGCCCTAAATTTCTTTTCGATTTATTTTCTAACCTTAGTTTTCTTATATCACCTTTTATAAGTTTATTTCCGCTAATTTTTATACGAATATTCCTACTTCATTTCACTGGTGTTATGTGTACTATGTTTTCTAAATTTACGTGACTCACACGAACCACATTTACTTTCATTTTCCGATAGGTTTTTTTGTTTCTCCAGTCTTAAAATGTCATCTTCATCCGATAATAAAACGTAAGAATCTTCCTCCGGATCATACAAAAGATCAATGTCACTATCATCATTAAAATCATATAGTATGTCAGATGGAAACTCTGAAGTCAGAAATAAATGGAGCTGCATTTCAACCTAAAACCATAGTTGTTGATTTTTTCTTAAAATCAACAAAACGAGAACTTACTTGTAAGTACCACTGTCTAGGTAACTATTAGTCTGTCTATTTTCTGGCTCTGCTTTCATGTGCTTCCTCTTGATGTTGATAAGATTCGGAATCGGAATCTACGTGTTATTGTAGTTATTAGTCACATTAAAACAAATTTTAATAATAATAACTTACCTCTATTATTTGATAGTACATTTCCAAAATTTTATTAGCTCGGAAAGACCTCATTTTAAACTGTTAAAACTGTTTTAAAATTTGTTACAAGTACGTGCTTAACACTTATTTTGAGGTTAGAACGCCACGTGTCAACAGATATAAGTTAACTGAATATTGGAGTCAAGAGACAAAAGTTGACTTATCACTAAACGCACGGGATGCCCTAGTGATCATTGGACACTAATTCATATCTATATAACGGTGTTATTATTGACTTATTATTGACTTAAGAGAGTATGTCTCTTTGCACAACCACAGATGAACTTGTTTTTTACAGCGTAGTGTAACTTTAGTTACACTAGTGTAGTGTACTTTTCTTATTTTGCACCAAATGTGTACTTGTACCGCTTTGCATGCGTACCAACGAATTATTTTTAATTAACTGCTTTAACTTTAATTTACCCCAATAAAGTTACGATTTTTTAATGTGATTATAAAACTATGTTCTTGTGGAATTTCTATTGTGGATCAATTTTATAATTTTATTAAAAGGTAATAATAAGAAAATATTTTTAAAGGTCAAAACAAAAATTGACTTGGGCCCATCGAAGGAAGTAAAATGGCTGTCAACGTCAAATATATCATATTTTCAATTAAAATTGTGCTTTATTTCCATTAAGTAAGGTAGATAGTTGCAATTAAGGGACAGGACATATGAGTATCACAAGGATTGTGATAAAGGACATTTTAATAATTCATAGAAACAAGGAGTACAATAACCAACAGGGTAAGATCTGGTATACAAATAAATCCTAAACTACAGAGGTTATGGAGGCAAAATTATACTTCAATAATCCAAGAATTAGCGAAAGCTATACCGCGGGGAAGAACTGCATCATATTCAAGCCGAGATTTATTTGATACTGGAATGTGCAAAAGGAAATAATGAGAGACCTCTTGAAAAAGAGAAGATCCACATATTGTAACAGTCAAAGGCAGTGGCGTGTCAGGAAGTGAAGTAGGCTGGCGTGGGAGTACATCAAAGGACTAAATGAACTGGGAGACCGGAACTAGGTTGAAAGGTTGAGCCTGTCTAGGTAGTAGGACATCATGGTATCAAAGACAACGAAAAATCAGATCAACTTGCCAAAAGAGTATCGAACGAATTAAACGTACCGGCTGTAACTTTGGGTGTACCAAAAGCTGTAGTTCGTAGTTCTCTGGAGGACTGTCGCCATTTTGCGTTCTTGAACGTAAAAAGTTACCTACGGAAGCAGTCATAGCCTGTGAGCTTCACCGTCCGGTAATAATTCAGCTGCCCGTGCCAACAGTCCCCTAGCTTCGCAGGTTCGGATGTAACTTCTTCGACTGCGCCACATCACGTGTTGCCACATACTCTTCCTGTCACTAGTCGATCGATCGTAAAAAACTGATACACGTTATCAAAGGGCTCTGCTTGTAGAGCCAAAGCATAGTAGTAAAAAGAAACTGCAAACAAGAAATGACATAGAATATTATTAATACAATGGTATAAATAAAATTTTTTACTTAAAAACCATCTTAGTCACTAAAAACTTTAATAATAACGACATCTTATATTACTATATATTTTTTTTTCAGGTATACTCATTAAAGTCTATCCTTGGAAAGTCAGACATCATCGTCAGTGTTACACAGAATCATAACTCGTCATCTTGTTGTTTAAAGTTTTCTCTTAAATGTATGAATTTTTAACAAAATAATACTAGCAGTACTGGCAACAGAAACAGAAATACAATGACACAAAAAAAACTTGTTATAAGTAATAAAAAAGATATTTAAAATAATTTTTTAAGTTGACTTGCTTTTAGACCAAGCTTGTATGGTATGAAAAATTATGTAACAAAATAGGAATTTCCGTTGATAGTGAATGCGGAGATTCAAGATAATAATTTGAGAATATATGATAAAAAAACACAGCAGGATAGTATAAGGCCAGAAAATATAGATTCAGAAGAAGAAATACGCAAGAACAAAGAAGATTATATGAAATAAGATAGATGATTAAAGCACTATTCACTGGAAACACTGGAAACAAGAAGAATAGATGCTTTATTGACGTGAAGGCTACATAAACTTCACCTGCGGCTATATAAATTGACTAGTCTAGTAACTAAGTGATCGAGGAGCTCAATCAAAAACCAGCCACTAACTGAGAATCAGTCCAGAAGATATTCCAAGCAGAGTTTCACATAAAGCTGCATAGTAAAAGAGTCCCAAAAATTAGTACCAAACGAAATAAAAACATTTAAAATAGCATTAACACATGATTATGTACCACAAGCTTAGCTAAAGCCAGAAGAGGCATAAAAAATACAAAAAAATAGACTACTGAAACTAATAACAGCACAAACTCTAAAGAAAATCCAGACAGAAATAACATTAGACGACTGATGTGGCTCTAAATCGTGTAGAAGAAAGAGAATGACTATGAATGAACGCAAGAAGAAAAATTAAGGATTATAATGAAATTTATTCGAACTGAATAGCACAATACCAATACACGATTTAAAAGGATAAAGAATGGAAGGTGTGGATTAGCGTGAAGGACGAAAATAGTGAAAACTATAACGACTAAGACCATGTGGAGAACATATAGCTGAAGGAAATAGCAGTAAGCTTTGTTTACTGCCACATTAAAAGAAAAACTCAAAGTACAGAGCAAAATCCGAATCCAGAACGAATTAACAGATGCATTCCCATATACAGGATTATAAAATATAAACATTTCACACATAAATTATATCTATATATAGTAAAAATACATATAAAACATACAAAATGTGAAAATATAAAAGTCAAACTTTTAACTAAGTGACTGAAAACATTTGACTTTTATCTATTATCGATTTATTGTATTTTAGCTGTTTACAACGTTGCCTAGTTTCTCAAAATTCTAATAATTGACGGAAATTTCTTTGAACACGACATGGTAAATTTTGTAATATTGTTTAAAAATTCATACATTGGAAGATGTCATCATCTAAAATATTTACTGCATTACTCATCAAAAATATTCTAAGCTTAACGCTAAGTATCTACTAAATATTCTATTCTTTAGTTGATTTGTTGTAAGTATTTATTTCCTATTTAATACCAGGCATGAATAATTGGTACTTGCTAGGAATGAGGATTTTATATTTGTTAAAGTGATTTTTCGGTTTTAGTTTTTTTTCTTGTTATTTATTGTTAGTTATGGTAAAAATACCAAAAGCGTGTTGTTACATGTTAATTGATGTTTTTTTTTTGTATAAAAAACATTCAATTATGTTTTGACAAATTATTGTATTGAATTATTTGCATTTATGTAAAGATGGCAAACTTCAAAGGTAAATTCATTGTGACATCCATTCACGTGTTCCAGTTTTTACCTGGTTTGAGTCTTATCAGGCTCGGACTTGCTTTGAACACGTTTTTGTCTTGATAAGTTATTTTCCTTAGGAATTAATTCTTTCTGATACGTCGATTGACGATTGACATTTTGCAATTTCATCCTTCAAATCCGTCAATAGTACCTTATATTCGTTATTGGTCGTTTTTCCAGCAAAGATATGAATCTCATTTGACAACAAATTTCACTTTAAGCTAGAAAGTAGATTCATGTTTCATTATGTTTCATGTCAACGCAAAAGCTGCTGTTTATTGATACACTTGTAAACAACACTAAATCGTTGTACTTTTTGATTGATCTTGAGTGTATTTTTTTATGTTTTCTAGGACAATTGCATTGCTCGAAATTAGAATTAAAAAAATCGTACCAGAAAGAAAAACAGTTCAACTACAGAGGTATAAACTTATTAAATACTACTCTAAAACTTACAACATTTTACAAGTACTAATAAATCAGAGGACTTATTAAATGTGGAGGTGCTACTGTGACTAATCAAATATATAAAATAATACTGAGAGCCTGGAATGAGGAACAAATCCCGGAAGAGTGGTGTATTGGAATAGTTTGCCCGCTACACAAAAAGGGTAACCAATTGGAATGTAGAAACTATAGGGGAATAACCCTCCTTAATACAGCTTACAAAATATTTTCGAGGATCTTATATGGTCGCCTAAGTGCATATTCAAAGGAACTTCTCGGGGAATATCAAAGTGGTTTTAGGCCTGGTCGATCAACAACAGATCAGATCTTTGTGTTAAGGCAAATATTGGAAAAAACCAATGAATTCAATATCGATACATACCATTTTTTTGCAGACTTCAAATCTGCCTATGAAAGTGTCCTAAGAAATAAATTGTATGAAGCCATGAATGAATTCCACATCCCCGATAAACTGATAAGATTGGTTAAGGCTACAATGCGTAATGTGGTTTGCAAAGTCGAAATACAGGGCGAACAATCACAGGCGTTTAGAACGCATGTTGGACTGCGATAGGGAGACGCGCTGGCGTGTCTTCTTTTCAAAATAGCACTGGAAAAGGCGATCAGAGATGCCCGAATAGACAACAGAGGAAATATTTTTAATAAATCAACCCAAATTTTGGCATATGCAAATGATGTGGACCTAGTTACCCGCACAACACGCAAGCTAGAAGAAATGTATACCACCTTCTCAAATGCCTTAAAATCTATGGGCCTGCAAGTAAATGAGGAGAAAACTAAGATGATGGCATCAACACCCAACAATAGACTCAGGAACATCGGTCCCCAATTCACAGTTGATAACTGTACCTTTGAAGTGGTGGAAAAATTCACATATTTAGGCTCCCTGATCACCAAAGAGAACGCCATAACGGAAGAAATCAAGCGAAGGATAATAATGGCAAACAGATGCTATTTTGGACTGAGTAGACATATGAGAACTAGAAACTTAAGGCAAAAAACAAAAATAACCATATACAAAACCCTTATACAGCGAGTGTTGACATATGGATCGGAGACATGGACCATCTCCAAGGCAGACGAAGACCTTCTGCTTATATTTTAACGAAGGATCCTGAGAGGAATATTTGGTGGCATCTGTCAAAATGGTGTTTGGAGGAGGAGATACAACTACGAGGTATACCACAGATATAAACAAATATTTGGTGGTAAAGACGTAGTATCTTTTATGTTTAGTAGTATCTCTCCTTAGAAAATAGGAAGACTAAGATGGGCAGGACATCTAGCAAGATCACAGCAGAACAACCCTCCTAGAAGAATCCTTATGTCACAACCCGTGGGAAGTAGAAAAAGAGGTAGGCCAAAACTCAGATGGAAGGATGGTGTAGATTGAGGATGGTAGAAAGATAGGCGCAGAAAACTGGCAACGGTTGGCAATGGATAGGACTGCCTGGCGTAATAGACTTAGGAAGATCGAGGCTCTTTCATAGGGCTGTAGTACCATTGATGATGATGAATAAATCAGAGGATGAGTTTAGCAGATGAACAACCGAGTTTTTGTAGTGAAAGATCGTGTACAGCTGCAATATTCGTTATAAAGCAAATAACTGAGAAATCACTTGAGTATAATGGCTTAAAGAAAGCAATTGACAGAGAAAGACTCAATGATGTAATCCATCTTTTGTATAATAGAGAAGCTCCCATAGATATTATAAAAACTTTTGAAAATATCTAACAAAACAACAAAATGGAAGTCAGAATAGATGGAACTTACAGAACCTATAGAAATAGGCAGCGGAATAAGACAAGAGGATTCATTGAGCCCCACGCTCTTCAATTTGATCATGGACGAAATTATCAAAAGCGTTAACAAAAGAAGAAGATACAGAATGGGAAATAAAGAAATAAAAATACTCTGTTATGCATACCACGCAATATGCAAGATAGTCAAAGATGAAAATAGTCTGCACAGACTGGAATATTACAAACAAACACATTAAGACTAAGATGAAGTCAAGAATTTCTAAAGCCAATGTAAGACCAATAATAATATGCTTCAGAAACAAGTCCCGATACAGCCACAACGCAAAGGTTAATGGAAACTGCAGAGATGAGAGTACTGAGAAGAATTGTTAAAGGAAATGTGCTGAAAGATCGAAAGAGAAGTGAAGATATTAAAAGAAAATGTATCGTACAGTGTATTAATGAATGGACAGAAAATAGAAAAAAAAGAAACAATGGAAGAACCACATAAGCAAAATGGAAAAGACCAGTGTCGTCAAAATAGCAAGAAATAGATCACAAAAGATGAAGTGACCAACTTGCATATAGGTATTAATCCGCCAATGAACAAGCAGAATTGCTTATAAAGAGGAAGACGAAGAAGAAGAAACAGTTTTAAATAAATCTATATTATATTTACATTGTTTTGAAAATTGCAACGTTAGAATTATTTCAACCATTGTAATTTGTAAATAAATGGTCAAAATAATGTCAAATTTTGACAATTGACGTTTGAAGGTTGGTAATTTTTAAAAACTATATAGATTTGTTTAGTCAATGAGGTCATTTGCGTTTGAAAGACATTTTGGAAACCGAATGAGATTCTCTATAGACTTATACTTGTCTGAAATTGTTTTCTTAAGACATAAACAATCATTTTTTGTAAAATTGGGACTATATGACTTTTTCCTAGTTTCAGACCAAAATCTGTATACTTAGTTGAAGATTTCTTTGTTTTATTTGAGTACTTAATGTGTACTTAACTGAAGACATTTAAAAATAAAATCTTAATCATTTATAGCAACATGTTTTTGGTATACTTCATTTAACACGTTCGCTGCGTGTCAAAAAACTGAAACCATCAACTTCTGACCTTAATTTTGGCAGTGGCACACGCAGCAAACCAGTTATAATGTTAAATATTTAAGTTTTTAATTATAAGTTACGTTGAGATTATTAGATATGTAGAAGATTGTACCGACAATAGCGAAATTGTAGTCTAGACTAAAAATTGACTATGCAATTTTTTTAAGAATAATGCACAAAACTAGTATTTCCACAAAAAATATACGGATCGGTTGCTATTCTAAATAAAGAAAAAAAACCTGTGTGTACTTATTTGTTGTTTAAATTTAGAACACTGTTGACATATAGATATTGTAGTAAGGAGAAAAAAAAACTATAGTAAGCGAAGACGTTTTTACTGTTTTCTTTACGTTGTATAAATATGTGGTGTTGTTTAGCAGGAAAAAACATTTTTCAAGTAGTAATGGTCCTTTTCATTTTTAACTGCATAGCCCAGTCTGGTTAAAAAAAGGTCGAAAAATTTTTCGCAGACATCTGAAGCTTTTAATACATAGGTGGGGGTTACTAGATGATGAATAGATGAAAAAGTACTCGTATTTTTACCTTACGTTTTTTTAAACAATAATTTATGGTCGTAATTTGATTTTTTGTATATAAGTTTTTCCCTTATATTTTACATAAACAATATTTATATTATTTTTTTTATATCAAGAATATTTTTATTTTCCCGTTTTTTCTATTAAAATTGATAAATAATTTACGGAGATATTTGCAAAAAAGCAGTTTTTTGCAGTAATTTGTAAATTTTAGTAATTTTTTTAAGACAAAATAAAATGTTATTAATACATTTGAATATCGAGCAATTACCGTTTTTTAAATTTGTGCGAAATTCTTCCCTATCGGTCAAATAGTTTAAAAGTTATTTAATTTATTTATCCCTGAGTATAAACAATATTTATATCATTTTTTTTATATCAAAGATATCATTATTTTCTTGTTTTTTAAATTAAAATTGATAAAAAATTTACGAAAATGTTTGCAAAAAGCAGTATTTTACACTAATTTATAAATTTTATTTATTTTTTTATTAACAGAATAAAATCTTTTTAATACATTTGAAAATCGAAGAATTACCGTCTATAAATTTGTGCGAAATGTCCCCCCGATCGTTCAAATGATTTAAAAGATATTTAATTTATTTATCCCTAAGGCTAAATATTGAAACTATTGAACTTGCTCTATTAACGATAAAATATATATTTCGTATATATTTTTATATAGGAAAAATATACATTGTCTCGTCTTTCATTGCAGCTAGAAGCCTCTTTTTCTTAATCGGGGGTAGCTCGTCAAAATATGAATAACTATATAGTTTTCACTATAACTATATAGAGAAGCGAATAAAGCTGTCAAGAAGGCAGCAAAGAAAGACAAACGAAAGTGGGCAGAAAATCTTGCCGAAGAAGCGCGAGTCGCCGATGAACATCAAAACATGAGACAATTATATAATATCACTAAACAACTAGCCAATAAAAGATATACTACCCACCAACCAATTGTAAAAAGTGCTACAGGTGAAGATATTACAGCGCCACAGGAACAAGTCAAAAGATGGCATGAATATTTTAGCGAATCTCTAAGTGCAGTCCCTACACCACCAGAAGACGCAGGAAACCTAATACCCAATATCCAACTGAGAATTAACACCAACGAACCAACAACGCAAGAAATAGAAATGGCCATAGAAAAACTGAAAGCACACAAAGCAGCCGGCCCTGACAATATTCCACCAGAGTTGTTAAAAGCTTGCCCAGGTACAGTGGCAGAGCTAATTCAACCACTCTTGAAAAGGGCTTGGAGAGAGGAAAAGTTCCCCAAAGAATGGAAAACGGGATTAATAATAAAGATACCAAAAAAAGGTGACAGAAGATATTGCGAAAACTGGAGAGGAATCACACTTCTGAATACTATAAATAAATTAACAGCAATAATTATAAACAACCGACTAACAAACAGTGTAGAAACAATGTTGAGGAAGGAACAAGCCGGTTTCAGAACAAACAGATCATGCGTGGACCAAATTAACACACTAAGAATAATTGTAGAACAGTCACAGAAATTCAACTCTCCTCTCTTTGCGTACTTTGTGGACTTCAAGAGAGCTTTTGACACGCTCACACATACGGCCATATGGAAAGCACTGCAGGAAATAGGAATACCAGAAAAAATAGTAAATCTCATCAAAGAACTTTACAGTGACACAGAAAGCAAAATCCTACACAACGGCATAACATCTGACCCAATAGCTATGCTAAACGGAGTAAAGCAGGGCTGTGTTTTATCCCCCATACTATTTAACATTGTACTGGACTCCGTACTAACAAAGGTAAACTCTAATAGAGGAATTTACTGAGAATTAACAAACAGACTGGAAGACCGATATTACGCTGATGATATATGCCTCCTAGCACATACAAAACAGGACATGCAACTCCAAGTAAACAAAGTACAAGAAAAATCAAAGAAGGTTGGTCTAGAAATAAACATCAACACAACCAAAGAAATGCGATTTGGTACCAGAAACAACCAACCTATTATGATCAACGACCAGAAAATTGAGAGAGTAGAGGAATTTGTATATCTGGGCAGCATAATTGACCTGTAATGAGGGTACAGAGCGTGATGTACATGAAAGAATAAATAAGGCTCGCAACGCCTACAACATGCTTAACAACATATGGAAATCCAAGATTTACCCAACTAAAACGAAATTAAAAATCTTCAACACAAATGTAAAAGCTGTATTACTGTATGGCTGCGAAACGTGGAAGATATCAGCACCCATAGTACACCAATTACAAGTTTTCATCAATAGAGCGTTACGAAAAATCCTTCGTATATTTTGGCCTAACTGAATCTCCAATGAAAATTTATGGAACCAAAGCAACCAAGAAAATGTCATAAAGCAAATAAGGCGATGAAAATGGAGATGGCTGGGCCACACACTCCGTAGACCGCCAAATGACATTGCCAGGACAGCGCTGGATTGAAATCCCTAAGGCCGACGGAAAGTAGGCAGACCTAAGGGAACTTGGAGAAGGACAGTACTGGACGAAGGGAGAAAAATGGGAAAATCCTGGCTTGAAATCAAAGCACTAGCCAGAAATAGAGTTCGCTGGAGACACTTTGTGGAAGCCCTATGTTCCTCTTAGGAATCTTGGGACTATATATATATATATATATATATATATATATATATTATATATATATATATATATATATATAGTTTTCACTGGCCGGGAAATATGGGAAACCTCGAAAAAATTGAGTCCATTTGAAATTCACAGTACTTTTTTTTAATTTGGCTGGAATAGGCTGTCGCAGTATTATTAATCATAACATAATTTTCACCTCCCACCCACCACCCCACCCGGAAATCTCGGAAAATAACGACACAATTATAGTTATTATAAGGAATATATTGTATAAAAAATTATCTGAAATTTAATTTATAAAATATATAAGTATTATTACATCGTTGATATAAAATGAAAAAAAAAATTAAAGGTATTGATCTTCCGGGATAATCCGAGGTTTCCGGGGGAGAGAAAATTATGTTATCATTATTAATACTGCGACAGACTATTCCAGCCAAATTAAAAAAAAAAGTAAGTTTTTACTCAATTTTTTCGAGTTTTTCGATGTCGATCTTTCGAAAGTACCTTCGTTTCGAAGGACTGTGAGTTTTGAAAAATTGGATGAATTTAATAGCTATAAGTTTCAATATAAAGTTTAGATTTTCATTCAAAATTTGTACAAATTTTGACTTCTTAATGTTTATAAACAATGGAGATATTTTTTAAAAATAGTCCCCAACTTCGTTCCTATTGGTCGAAGAAGGTTTTTTTTTAATGTGAGTTTTTTTACCAGCTATCCAAAGGTTGTACGTACAAGTTTGTAACTTGAAAAATATAGAAGTTATTACAATTGTTTATAATATACGTCCATGTTTATAAGTTCCATAGTTTAAATATTTAGCCTCAGGGATAAATAAATTTAATAACTTTTAAACTATTTGACCGATCGGGGGAAATTTCGCACAAATTTAAAAGACGGTAATTGCTCGATGTTCAAATGTATTAATAACATTTTATTTTGTTAAAAAAAAAATTAATAAAATTCATAAATTAGTGCAAAAAACTGCTTTTTTGCAAATATCTCCGTAAATTATTTATCAATTTTAATTTAAAAACACGTGAAAATAAAAATATTCTTGATATAAAAAATAATATAAATACTGTTTATGTAAAATATAAGGGAAAAACTGATAGACAAAAAATAAAATTATGACTATAAATTATTGTTTAAAAAAACGTAAGGTAAAAATACGAGTGCTTTTTCACCTATTCATTATCTAGTAACCCCCACCTATTTCTTAAAAGCTTCAGATGTCTACGAAAAATTTTGCCGTGAAATCGATGATTTTTACGTAACCAGACTGGGCAAATAATGAGACTTGTTTATATATTAGTCTAGTGACAAAGGGGGATTTCGTGGCTTATTGAGTTCTAGAAAACTTATTTTTATGTATTTTGTATAGCTAAGTTAATAGCAAAATAGAGTTATAAGCAAAAATTTGCAAAATCTTGTGTCCAATTTTTCCAACACCTGTCCAAAAATTTGGATTATCATGTTGAAAATTCGGATTCATCGGAATAAAATATATAACAACCCTTTGTAAAATCTCATGGATCTTAATCAGCTACGAAGCCTCTCTTTACCTTAGACTTTACACAAATAAACTTTCGACTATAAATGGACCATATTTCTTCACATACAGTGTCTCCAAATTGGAGATAGAATTTTAGAAAAATAGTTAATGAATTATAGCATTTTTTAATACTTTATAATAAACCCAACCCGAAGACTATTGGCCTACTTTATCCCATTTTTTCCTGTCCAGTTTTTCATGTTAAAATCACTAAACTGTCACAACTGTTACACCATATATCTTTTGCTTTCTCAGGTTATTTACTAATGTTATATTATTAATATTAATATCTGCATCTCCTTACTAGCTTCCAATATATAGGCACACTTGACGAACCAACTGTAGTGACTCTTTATTTTTAAATGACATAATCTAATATCTATTGTAAATATATTCTAGTTTATTTTTAGTTAATGTTAATATTACAGTTTTCTTCCTATTGAAGACTACACAGCTATTTTTGAACACATACGTTTATATTTATTTTATTCTGTATTTTTGGAAATCATAGATGAACAGTATAACCTGGAACTTTCTTATCATTTACTTAATGACTTTCATACAGATAATACTTTAGTCTCTTAGGTTTGGTCCGTTTAAGACTCACATTATTTTTAGTTTTCTTGTGGTTTTATCTTTTAAAGGTTGGCAACAATCTCAGGCCAATCTCATAAATTTTTTCAACACCAAAGTTGTCGTCTTCCCAGTTCTGCCTTGCATTCGATTTTCCCTTCCGTAATTATGGTCAAAAGCTTTGCGTACAGATTCTTGGCCGAGATAGCCTAGGTATTAAATTGTTCCTTTTTTATGTTAAAAAATAACTCTTCTTCTTCAATGAGTCATCGCATATAGGATCCGTCCAGGGCATCTTCTAAAAGCTTCTATAAATCGACATTTCAAAGAATTCTAAGCGCCTTAAAGTGTTTGCTGTGGGCGTCCAGGTTTTACAGTCATATAAGAGAACTGAGTAAACACTGATGTTGAGTGAATAGATTTTCGATTTTGTTAAATGCTGATTTTGCCTGTACTGATTGAGATCTAACATTTAAATCAGGATATAGTTCAAATATTAGCCAGAAACTGAGATATTTAAACTTGTTCCAAATTTCTTCGTGTTGTCTGTATATTTTAATATCTTATAATGAAGTATTTCTCTTAC